CTGTGACAAATGTGTGTACTAACAGATAAATATGCATTTATGGGGATCACAAGGTGGCAGAAGTAATAAATAATTAGTGATACATTATTGCAGTATGTTAAATTGGCTAACTTTAATACATTGGCTAAATTGGTTTTGTGTGATCTGGCCTATGTCATCTTGTACCTATCTCCAGGCCCACCTCGATATTCGTTGGGCTATTCAGACAGTGTAACTGAGAAGTTTGTGAGAGAGATCGATAGAATTCTAGAAATTACTTTTTTGTTTTTAAATCTTTGCTCATGTAGGACAAAAGTCCTGAGACCTCTTAGAAATCTTAGGAGACTGAGAATTACTTGGAGTGCTGGGTTCCACTCTTCCGCAGCTTCTACCTAAGCCGTGAACCTTTGAGCAGGTCACTTTCAGTCTTACGTTCCACTTGTGCTGTCCAAAGGTGGGCCACACTAAATAAATACCAGGTATGATACTCCATAATTTTGACCAGATAGAAACAAACATTTGAAGATGTTTTGTAATGTGCTTTATGATAATCAGGATTATACTAATGTCTCACAACGCCTTTGTTTGCGGCAGCTGCTGCACACAGCATATGGCAGACATGGATGGAGTTGATCCTGAATTTCTGTTTTTCTTGTGAAACAGAGTAAAGTCTTTGTTTTGTATTCAGCCATCTTATTTTCTGTTCCCACTGGTATGTTCCCATTTCAGTCTCGGTACCCTGTGTGACTGCAGGCAGCACCCCCAGGCTCTAGCACTTGCCATCCTTGGCCAGCAGTGGAGTCAGCTCTGGGGGGCTGTGCTGGGTAAAGAGGACAGTGGGAGATAAGCTCCTCCCCCTTCACCACCACACCAGCACAGCACCTCCGGCTTTTCTCCAAGCAGAGAGTGGGGTTGAAATGCTGCTTGGCCTTGAAAACAGCAGGGAATAGTGATTCTTAAAAGTCTGTGTGTCTTCCACTGAATGGCTTCTGCTTTTTTGTCTCATTTCTTTACCCACAGAAAGTGCCCAGCACATTGCTAATTGCTTTTCCATTGTTTTTACTGCAGGAAAGAATACATAACAAGAGCTCCAGGTTTTATAATTAAGTAAAGAGCACATTCCCACTATTAGATTTCCTTCACCCCCATCCATCTCCACAATTTATTTCTTCTCCTAATGGGAAGTTCTACATGCTAAATAGTAACTCCCGGTTCCTCTTCTTCCGGGCCCTCGTGCCCACCATTCTCTTCTCTTTTTCAGGCTCTTACGTTCCGCAGATACGTGGATTTACACAGTATTTGTCCTGAACTGTCATCCCAGTGTTAAAATACCCATCAGATTTATGTGAGATTCTAGCAGCCTCTACCAGGTTGTCACAGTGTTCTCTAACCACGCGGTGGTAGGAAGTGCCTCACAGCCTCTCGGTGCTGTTTAAGGCTGTATAACAGGAACTTAGGCTGGTAAACAAATTTGATTATACTTTTGTGCTGCTCAGTTCAGCGTGGGAACCTGTTTATCTTAGTTCCTGTTGAATTCAGCTTTCTAAGAACTAAGGTTGCAATAGAAGACGAGGGCTGGGCTGGTGAAAACACTCTCTGCTGGCTTACAAAGAATATGACATCTCACATAGTGACTAACATCAGCTTTTAATGAGGCAAAAGAAAGAGCAGAATAAATGCCGTAGATTTGATTTTAAGCATTTTTGTGTGCTTTTTTTTTTACACAAAATCTTTTCATGCACATAATCAGAATGACAGATAAAAATAGGCTATTTAACCTGGTTGTTCACACCTTGAATCCCAACAACTGGAGGACAGACAGGTGGGTTTCTGTGAGTTTGAGGTCTACACAGTGTTTCAAAAATAAAAAACGGGGCTGGAGAGATGGCTCAGCGGTTAAGAGCATTGCCTGCTCTTCCAAAGGTCCTGAGTTCAATTCCCAGCAACCACATGGTGGCTCACAACCATCTGTAATGAGATCTGATGCCCTCTTCTGGCCTTCAGGCATACACACAGACAGAATATTGTATACTTAATAAATAAATATATAAAAAAATAAATAAATAAAAAACAAGCAAGCAGAAACAAAACAATCACGGTCCATACAGTGTTTCAAAAATAAAAAAACAAGCCGGGAGGTGGTGGCGCAGGCCTTTAATCCCAGCACTTGGGAGGCAGAGGCAGGCGGATCTCTGTGAGTTCGAGACCAGCCTGGTCTACAAGAGCTAGTTCCAGGACAGGCTCCAAAACCACAGAGAAACCCTGTCTCGAAAAACCAAAATAAATAAATAAATAAACAAGCAAGCAGAAACAAAACAATCAAAAACCAGGCCATTTACATGAAAGTAAAAATTGACTTTCTCTGTAGCTCTAGAGAGTGGAACGGAGGGACAGGCTGAGCTGGGGCGAGGGCTAATGGCACCAGCAACTATGTGTCCCCATTTCCTTGGAGGGGAGACTTGGCCAAGTTTCAGGAAGTCCTTTTGACTTTGTTCTAAGGTGTGGACGAGCAGGTGAATGGGACCCAGTGGGGCCCACAGAGTTAGTATATGTGGCCACATCCTAACGTCGTTTGAGAGCAGCTGGGGAGATGGGCCTCTCGGGAGTCACTGTCTCCTGTGTCTGCCGAGAGAGTCATTTTGTGAGATGTGCGTGCAAGGTACATTATGTGAATCTCTGAGCCAGTTAAACATTAACCTGTCAGAAAACAGAAGAAGACTAAAATGCAGCTGGTTTTGGCTTGAGAATTTCATTGCTCTGCCAGAAATCCTGTTCCATTGGCTCTTACAATGGAGAGCAAATGAATATTAGCAGCCAAAGAGATCAATAGAAGCAAAGAAACCAGTGCAGTCCGGAGGGGAGGCTCTCTTAGAAGGAGCAAGTGGGGTAAAATTTCCAGCTTGAATAGACAACCATGCTCTGGGTTCTGCCTTTTGAGACAGAGTTGCATTATGTACCCCTGGCTGGCCTGGAACTCCCAGAGATGCCCCTGCCTCTGCCTCCTGGGTGCAGCGCTGAAATTAAAGCTGTGCAGCACTACTGGCTGTAACTGAATTTTTGTTAAAAGTTGGGGCTTCAGAGTCTACAGAGAAAATTGCTTAATTTGCTTGTTTCCTTTGTAATTCTGAATTTTATTTTATGCATTGTAAAGCATTCTGAGGGACAGAGTGATGGCTCAGTGGTTTAAAAATATGGTTGTTCTTCCAGACGACCTGGGTCCTGTTCCCAGCACCCACAGGGTGGCTCATAACCATGTGTAGCTCTTGTTCCAGAAATTTGGTTCCCCCCTTGGACATCAGTGAACACCTGGTATGCAAGTAGTTCACAGACATATGCAGGCAAAACACTCATCCACATAGAATAAGGATAAATCTTTTTTTTTTTTCTTTTTAAGCGTTCTGAGATGGGGATGCTGGTGTGTGCCTGTAGTCCTGCTCTTCACAGAGTAAGGCAGGTGGATCTCTTGAACCCTCAAACTCAAGAGCAGTTTCCGTAATACCATGAGCCCCCATCTCATAAAAACAGAGAAACCAAACAAACTGTTACTCTGAAGAGAGATCCCTAGCCTTCCTCATCCTGCTGTAGGAATTCATGATCTAGAACATTCTCAGAATCATTGTATACTGAGTTAGAGTGAACAGGTTAGTGATGACTGGGGTGTGCCATCAACATAGTTCCTGCATTGCCTTTAGTGCAAGTGCTTTGCCCAGATGGGCTTTACTTAATACTTATTTATTTTATTAATAGCCATACCTAGAGTAGTTCCTATGGCGATTCTGGCAGGTTGCAGTGTGCATGTGTGTATTCTTTTGCTCGTTCAGACTGTTAAGCGAATCCTCACTTCAGTGGTCTCACGTTGGTTCTTTGGTGCGTTTCAAGCCCGTGATGCTGGCTGGCTCTCGGGTATTAATATTGCTGGAAGCATCTAAGTGTGAATGGGTGTTTCTGGCAAGGAGCAGATTTTCATGTTAATTGACACTTTCTTTTATATACTAAACCGTGGATGCCAAGTGCTCTCCTCACTAGTAGTTGTAAATGCTAAATCTATACATGGCTTTACCACCTCCTGTCAAGATAAATGCAAGCTTCATTTCCCCTCAGAGGAGCTCAAAGGAATAATTTATCCCTGGTTTGTTTGGGAAGATGTTTGCAGCCAGTCTCACGTGGACCCAGCTGCAAAAATTTCCAGTGCCTAAAGCCAGCTCAGCAATGGCTTTTGTTCCTAGGAAGCCTGGAGCAGTGGGAATGAGTATCAGATTGGTCTCTTGTTCCAGTTCTATGATACAGAAGTGGCAGCGGTAATGTCCTAAGTGGGAGTGTGTTGGTGTCCTCGAGTCCAGCCACACACTCTTACATAGCTAAGCGAAAGAGAGAAAGGAAGTAGTTTGGGCACCCAGGGTAGGGGAGAGAGATAACTTATTTTTAATGAGGATGATCGTTTCTGAGTGAGTACCTTAGAAATGAGTAGACTCACATCCTTCATCCAGTGAGCCAGTCTCTGAGCTGAGGCATATTGATCTGCTAGTAAAAACCCAGGGTCAGGTTTAATTTTTAATAGTTTATCACTCAATATAAGGAAGGTTTGCCATTACACTTTGAGATAATTTACTCTTAATAACCAAGTGTGGTAGTTGCAACCTTCATGGGCTTTTTGTGGCCGACCACAGCAGCTTCCAAGTGCTTTCTCTTCAGTTAGGTTTGTGCTCTTCAGGATAGCCCTGGGAAGTAGGTAAGGAAGTTATCTTCAAAATAAGATGAGGGACTTTTGCTTCGGAAAAAATGGAAGTCCTTCTACTCTACTAAGCAGAGCTAGTACTGGAACCCGGGTCTTAGGCTCCTTGGCCTTGCATTCGTTAAACTGTATTAGCCACACTACTTGAAAGACAGTTGTAAGTGTTCCTTCTGTATCTCCAACAGAATGGGCTTGTCCGTCATGTCCCGGCACTTGTTGACTCATCTTCTGCACGAAGTCTCTCAGATTCTAAGTCTGCTTGTAGAATGTACACCCGAGGAACCAAGCATTAAAAGAGCCCACAGTCCTTGAGGTTTTCTTTGATGATAATATCTGTAACTGCATCGAACACAAATTTGACATTCTGTGTGTCTGTCGCACAGGTCATGTGACTGTAGATTTCTTTGACATCTCTTCTCATGTTGAGGTCAAGGAACTGGCTCTTGATATAATTCCCGGCATCCTCATAGGAGTTGTTCCCTGGTTTTAAAAAAATTAGTAAAGGAGAATAAATTAACCTGTAGGGCTCAATTTTTAGGTGGCTAATTTGCTTCTTGGAGTATTGTTTTAGACAAATACGGTCAGCGACTGTTGGAGTGAGGATTCTGTTGTGCATGCAGGCGACTGTCAGGAGTGAGGATTCTGTCGTGCGTGCAGGCGACTGTCAGGAGTGAGGATTCTGTCGTGCGTGCAGGCGACTGTCAGGAGTGAGGATTCTGTCGTGCGTGCAGGCGACTGTCAGGAGTGAGGATTCTGTCGTGCGTGCAGGCGACTGTCAGGAGTGAGGATTCTGTCGTGCGTGCAGGCGACTGTCAGGAGTGAGGATTCTGTCGTGCGTGCAGGCGACTGTCAGGAGTGAGGATTCTGTCGTGCGTGCAGGCGACTGTCAGGAGTGAGGATTCTGTCGTGCATGCAGGTGACTGTCAGGAGTGAGGGTTCTGTCGTGCGTGCAGGCGACTGTCAGGAGTGAGGATTCTGTCGTGCATGCAGGCGACTGTTAGGAGTGAGGATTCTGTCGTGCATGCAGGCGACTGTCAGGAGTGAGGATTCTGTCGTGCATGCAGGTGACTGTCAGGAGTGAAGACTGTCGTGCGTGCAGGTGACTGTCAGGAGTGAGGATTCTGTCGTGCGTGCAGGTGACTGTCAGGAGTGAAGACTGTCGTGCGTGCAGGTGACTGTCAGGAGTGAGGATTCTGTCGTGCGTGCAGGTGACTGTCAGGAGTGAGGATTCTGTCGTGCGTGCAGGTGACTGTCAGGAGTGAGGATTCTGTCGTGCATGCAGGTGACTGTCAGGAGTGAGGATTCTGTCGTGCGTGCAGGTGACTGTCAGGAGTGAAGACTGTCATGCATGCAGGTAACTGTCAGGAGTGAAGACTGTCGTGCATGAAGGTGTTTCTCACTTGAGTGAAACAGTAGAACAGAGGAAAGGTCCCTGTGTTTCCATTTTTGCTTCTTGGTAGGTATCCTTGGAACAGTCGGTGGCTCTGGTGTATACATCTGCTCTAGTCCAGAAACATCTGAACTTGAACCTTAAAACTATTCCTTTTGCCCTGGAATGAGGCGAGCCCATCACTCTTGTCTGCAGCAGTCAGCACCTACCATCATACTCTGGAAAACAAATACTGAGGTGGACTTTCTTAATTTTCTCCTCGAAGAGGTCCTTCTTGTTGAGGAAGAGGACAATGGAGGTGGCTGCAAAGAACTTGTGGTTACAGATGCTGTTGAACAGGTGCAAAGACTCATGCATGCGATTCTGGGGAGGAAACGTGGGAAATAGCAGATCAGCCTGTGGGGTGGATGTCTGTTTATTCCTGTTCTAACTGAACAGGCCAGTGTTCCAAATAAAAAGGGAAAGCAAGGGAACAGATCATCTGTTTTTAGTATGGTGGGGGACAACCAAACATTTAAATTTCCCTTCTGTCATTTTAATAGCTTGATTCGAGGGGGATTATTCACATCCAGAGTCTCAGTTCCCTTGTAGTTATGAATGCTAGAGAGGACATGGATCTGTGGTATCTGTGGTAGTAACTGGCGAGGAACACCCATGTGTGGAGATCTTTAGCTCCAGAGTCCAAATAGTATTCATAGTGCTGCCGTTAGGCTGAAACCAGGCCCAAATCAGCATTTTGTTACTTGCATCTCCAGGATGATTTTGCTAGCTTCTCTCAGCTGGAGCATGGCTGACGTGGATTCTCTGACCCCAGTGCCACAGGTAAGGGCTGGAGGATTTCCCAGTGCCATACCGCCGGCACCGGGGATATGTGTGCGGAGTCCAGAGTCAGCCAGTCCCCATGTCAGGTGAGCGGTTAGGGACCTGAAGTGCACCATCAGCTGAATGGAAGTCATTCTTGTCATCCAATCAGGGAAAACTGATTTGTAGTCTCCTCACTGGTCGCTCTCCTGCTGTTGATAACTTCCATACCTGGTACACTCAGACTGACGTGGAAATGACAGCAAAGCTGTATTTCTGTTGGGCACCTGGCCAACATGGAATAGACGTTTATGTGAAATTAGTGTTTCCACATCTTTGACTTCCTTTTCTCAAATCAAGAGAAGGGAGCTGGCATATAGACATCCTAAGTCCCTGCACTGCCCATTTTATCTGTCTGCTTCCTCTTAGCATTACCGCCTCTAGCTTTCTGGGGGCCGCACCCAATGCTTGGATTCCTAATCTCACACCAAACTCATGCTCAGGAAATTTGGAGCTTTGAAGTACAAACCTCGAACCTGCAGCAGAAAGGGGATTTTCTGGAGTTAATAAGGTCGAGGCAGAGATTGGTCTGCTAGGGGATGTCTAGGCTGTCAGTTCTAGCCAGTTGGGCAGTGGAATGACAAGATTTGGAGACGGGGTCACTCACCACTTCATCGTCTTCCACCAGCACCATGTCATAGGCGCTGAGAGCCGCGCAGAAAATGATGCAGGTGACTCCCTCAAAGCAGTGGATCCATTTCTTCCTCTCTGATCTCTGCCCTCCCACGTCAAACATCCTGGGAAAAAGCAGCTGTTAGCAGGGGTGTGGCCAACGTGTGAGTCACTCGCCTTTGGTATTCACCCTGAGAGGTGGCTGCCTGGGGCCAGTTAGTAGCAAAATCAGAAATAGGAGAGGCAGGAGGAGGACAGTAATCCCGAATTGGGCTTCAGCAGAGGCCAAGAAACAAGCTGTGAGACCCGAGATGCCTCCAGGGAACCGAATGCTGACCTGAAATTCAGATCTTTCACAGAAAACTTGGTCTCGATAATGCCTGTGGTTTTGACTCTGGATCGGAGCACATCTTGCTCACTGGGAAGGTAGTCAGGGTCTGTAATCCGGTCCAGCTGGTTCAGGTAGCTAGGGAAGACAGTGGTGTTGGTGATGTTCCAGTCTGCAGTCCAGACTAAAGGAGGCACAGGGTCTCCCCCTAAGTCACACGCTAATAGAAGCAGGGCTGGCATCCACAGCACTGTACCAGGATTGTACAAATGCTTGTGCGCTTAGGGGAAGGAAAGAGGCTGAGGATCGTACGAATGCCACACCCACCTGAGGCAGCTCTTCTGTCCTCCTGACTAAGCCTTTCTAGACCCTTGAATAAGACTTGTTTAAATGTGTGCAAAGTTCCATCAAGAGACCGGAAACAGATTGAGAGAGAGAGACTTGGAAGACACAACACAAGGCAATGTGTGGGCCTTCTCCCGAGTCAACCAGGAATGTGAACACATTTTAATATTTGGAGATACTAAGGAATTATTAAATGTTTTGGTATGATATGATTTCTTCTTTGCATTTTAAATCCATAGTGAAATTGTTAGGACAGTGATAGCTGCGGAGGGGCTGGAAAGTGAGCTCAGGGTGGCTGTGAATCAGCTAAACTGGACTCCTCACTGTGCGCCCCGCTTTCCTGAGAACATGAGGAAGTTCACGAAGGGTGGGCAGAGGGCAGCTGTGAACTGAAATGACCTAAGATGGAGCAGGAGGAAAACTGACATGTCTAATGCACACCGTAGTTTCACATCTAAAGTCTCACTAAATCTTGGAAGACTTTAAGATTCCTGTCCCCCTTTTCAGATAAAGGAAAACTTCAGAGGGATTCCTTGGGAGGACTGAGTTTCAGGGCAGCCTTGGCTGCAGTCAGCCCCTGTCTCAATGCAGAACAAGCAGAACAAGAAAGCGCTGTGGCCTGCTGTACAGCTCAGCTCTGTAGTCGCCCGGACCTGGAGCCAAGGGCAGCCGCTGCTGTTTATGCGCAGTCTTTTCCGTGCTAACTGACTTCTCTGGGCTGTAGTTTTTCTACCAGAAAGTGGGGCTAATGAGCTTTGAAGGCTAGTGTACAAGCAAGGACTCTGAGTTGTAGTGTATGTTGTACCCTAGCAGGGACAACCTTCGTAAGGGAGGATCCCAGAAACTCAATGGTAACATTTCAAGATGAGGTGACAAAGGGGTAAACATGGGTCTGTTTGGTCTTACAGCTCATGCCCACTTCTGATACTGTACTGTGGGGGGCTGATAGCTGTATCTCTTATCATTTTGGAACCAGCTTTGCAAAGTTGATAAGTCTCTTAGTGTCTGACCATCTTTCTTTGGTTTGACTCTTGAGATAGGGCCAAGGGCTGCTAAGCAGAGCCACTGTGTTGAATTTTGTGTCTTCAGCTTCGTAAGCTGCAGGGAGGCAGTGTAAAGAAATGCAAAACAGAGGGAACTGGCAGATGTCCCCACAGCCTTAAGTTTAGTTTGTGGGTCTGCTGCTTCCACTGCCTGGCGCTTAAAGCTGGGTGAGGTTTCTCCTGAACATCATCCCATCCCACCTCCCACCCGGAGCCTTACTAAGATGCCGAGTCATTGAGCTGGAACTCTGCAGCTCTGTCAAAGCAGGCTTGAATGCCAGGGTCCTTCCACAACTTCCTGATGACCTCCACCAGCTCAGGGGGCATGGTCCCCTCCTCAATGGAGTCTGCCAGGTTATTGAGCTGTCGACCCGCATCCTGTGTAATCGAGAAATGTGGCTGAGAATGAACTAGGAGGGAGTCAGTGACCGTCCAGGTTTCTGGGAACTTACTGGATGGAACGTAGATATTGCTACCAAAGCCTAAGGTGGAACAGTCTCAGTGAGAGTGCAGTGTAAGGAAATATGCTAATTTACTTTGAGCATGCTCTCCAGATGTAGCTAGTCTGGGGTGCCTAGAGGATAGTATCAGATGATCCTTCAAGTGCTAGACTTCAGATTAGGCTGAAAGTGGACGGCTAGAAGGTATAGGTCCTTCGCTGCAGGGACTGGAAATGTAAAAGCTACACTGGCCCTGAAGTACACAACCTAGTGTATTTCAGTGTATAAAAGGCTAGTGTATTAGCTTATAAAAGTCCCGTGGCTAGGACTAGAAGCTCAAGGAGAGAATTTAAATGATAAGGTTAAGAGGCAAAAATATGCTGGGAGTTGATTTCATAAACATTCATTATAGGGGCTGGAGAGATGGCTCAGTGGTTAAGAGCACTACCTGCTCTTCCAAAGGTCCTGAGTTCAATTCCCAGCAACCACATGGTGGCTCACAACCATCTGTAATGAGATCTGGTGCCCCCTTCTGGCCTTCAGGCATACACGCAAGCAGAATACGGTATACATAATAAATAAATAAATCTTTAAGAAAAACATCATTATAAAGGTAGAGCTTGTTTACCCTACTGGGATTAAAGTGATCTGGAGCTTAGCAGATGCAATTTGAGTTACACAGAGCTTTTTCTTACCCGACTTTCCTTGTGGTTTGCTGGTCTCTTGTCTATTTCTTCTCCTGCTTTCACCCTGAACCAGATAACATTAATCACGTACCGCACAGCTTGGTTCTGCATAGTCGATGCCTAGTGTGGCCATGGCTCTGACGATAGCCAGGATGGACTGCAACACGTTCCCATAGATGACAGATTTGAATTCTAGGCATTCTTCTGGAGAGTATCCATCCTGGTGAATGATCCTTCAAGGAACAGACACTAAACTTTTGGAGGGACCTGAGGAACCAGACCTAAGGGATTGGGAGTCTAGGGGATATATGGGTCATAGGAAACCACCTGTTTCTACTGCTGTCTCCTAGTGCAGGTTGGGGGAGGGGCACTGAAAATCAGGTCTTTGGCGCTAAGGACCCGTTCTACTAGACCAACACTGGCTCCATGGCGCCCCACCTCAGTCCTCCCGGGGTTGTGTCGTACTCACTTCATCTGTTTGACGATGGTGCTCTTTCCTGACTCCCCAGCACCTGGAAGGCAAATGTCCATGCTGTCAGTTTCCACCGGCTCTCCCCAGTGGTCCAGAGGACGGTGTGTGAACTTACTGAGAGACACCATGAGCTTTAGGCTCGTCCACCTGGATTTATAGCAGTTCGTCCTCATTAACGCTATTTACATCGAGACCTGGATTCCTTTTTTATGGCTATCGTATACACTGTAAGCTGGTTAGCACCCTTCCTGCTCTCTACCCACTAGAGGCCACTAGCAGCCCACTCTTAGTTGTGGCAACCAAGGATCTCTAGACATACCTTGTGGCCCCTGGGGCTCAAAAGTTCCCGGCTGGGAACCACTGACAGACTTGTAGATATTCCTTTAAGATAGTCACGCTGCCTGTTTAGACACAAGTAGTCTTGGTTGGGATTGGAAAGAGCTGGGGCTCTTTGTTGAGATGCTGTTTTTCCTACCGTGACGGTGTCTGTTATTAGCTGAAACATTCCAGTGTCCTCTTGTCCATCAGCCTCTCTACTGACCTGATCCCTCCGTCCCCTCCCACCTTGCCTGTGCTTGTTTCCTCTAAACTGCTTACCCTGAACCTAGACAATCTGCTTAGGCTTAAAAGATCTGTCCATCAGCCCTTGTTCCTGTGTAACTCCTGTGTTCCTCGGCAGAGCCTGGGTTCCTCAGCCCCCTGTCCCTGTGTAACTCCCACGTTCCTCGGCAGCCTGGGTCGGTCAGCCCTGTTGCTGTGTAACTCCCACGTTCCTCAGAGCCTGGGTCCATTAGCCCCTGTTCCTGTGTAACTCCCGCTTCCTCGGCAGAGGCTGGGTCCATCAGCCCTTGTTCCTGTGTAACTCCTGCGTTCCTCCGCAGAGCCTGGGTCCATCAGCCCTTGTTCCTGTGTAACTCCCGCGTTCCTCCACAGAGCCTGGGTCCATTAGCCCCTGTTCCTATGTAACTCCCGCGTTCCTCGGAGCCTGGGTCCAGCTCACAAATGGCCCCTTTAGTGTGCACTTGGTCTTTACTGCTTCAAGTCCCCAGGTTCTTCATGGAAACTGTCCCAGGCAGCCAGCGTTCTGCTACACACAGATCAACGGTCCCACTTCAGTAGTAACACTGGTGTTTTTATTTCTTGTGGTTTTTTTTTTTTTCGTGAACCAGGTGTCAGTTGCTTGCTTTCTGTTTGAAGCCATGATCGGTTCCCATGACTGACCCACAGAGGTGCTTTATCATCTCTGTACCAACCAGTGATCTGCTTACGATGCCTCCAGTTAATCAACCGTCCAGATGTCAGGGGTTTTTAGAGCAATTACTTAACAGAAAGCCAGAAGGGCATTTCTGTTAAAGACTCCATCTTCCCTGCGGCCCTCCCCTCCTTACCAGGTTCTCCAACATTTATTTTGAGAGCAAGGAGAAGAATCCAGACTCCTTGGCAAAAGCCAATAGGCTTCTCCTTGAGACTATTGGGATGGCGTGATGCTTTACGAACCCATTGCTGAGAGAGAGAGAGTCCTATCTTCTTACCGTATACCACAGTTCTCTGACTGCAGGATTGGGGTGTGCCTGCATGGCCAGGGTTCTTGATAGTTGTTGAACCCCAAAAGAGGTGTTGTTGCAGTTGGGTAGCCCAGGTTTGTACTTAAACTATTCATAGTTCAAGGAAAAGCAAGACAGTTCCAGTGACCGTGACATTCTGGGTCCCCATATTAACTTAGCTCTAAGCTCTGCTTGGTTTCTTAGCTTGAGGACTGGCCCAGGATGAGAACATGCCCAGCCCTCCCCGTCCCATCAACCCACCAGAAAGGCAAAGAGAGTGTTACTCTTCCCCTCCGCTAGCCCATCTCATGTGACTCACCAAGCAGCAGCAGCTTGACCGTCTTGGCTTCCTTCTCAGCATCCTCCTGCAGCTTCCTTTCCAGCTCCTTGGACCTCTTGGCAAGTTCTTTATCCTCGGCACTGATTCCACTCCCCATCTCTGCTGTCTCCTCAGAGAAGAACTGCTTTCTCTAGCTCCGAAAAATTTCCAGTACGGCTCCTGTCTGTGAGATCAAGATAAAGAAAACCTGGGTTGGGATAGAGTGACAGTCTTCTGCTCCCATAAGCGTTAGTGACAGTGTGGACTACTGGTTCTCGCACCCTTCCTACCCTGCTTTGAGACTCCCTCCTCCGACTGGAGAACTGCTTCTGAATCTAGGGATTGTCCCCTTTATGTCTAGCAGTATGCCAGGGTAAGCTAATTAAAAGCTTTGCCAGTCAGGCAAAGGGCAAAGGCTCTAATGTTCTTTAACGAGGGAAATGACCTGGGTTTTGACACAGCTGGGTAGAACACAGGTACTGGAGCCCTGGGAGGAAGCAGCCACCTCCTCCCTTCTAAAGAACTCACACAAGCCTGCAAGCCACCGTTTTAGGGGTTCGTTTGCATTGGAGAGCTGAAGAGCTGAAGGTTAAGGGTGATCCCCTAGCTGAGTTTACAAGGTCTTGGTTTTAGGGAATCGAAGGGATAGTCCTGGCAAAGACGTCTGCTCCAGGAGCTGTTATTGTTGCTTTGTGCCGGCTCATCTCTCAGAATGCCGTGTGTGTGTCTGTGTGTGTGTGTGTGTGTGTGTGTGTGTGTGTGTGTGAAAGAGAGAGAGAGAGAGAGAGAGAGAGAGAGAGAGAGAGAATTTTCTTTCTTTTATTGTTGTTTTTTGAGACAGGGTTTTCTTTGTATAACCTGGTTGTCCTGGAGCTGCCTCTGTGGACCAGGCTGGTCTTGAACTCACAGTGATCCACCTGCCTCTGCCTCCTGAGTCCTGGGATTAAAATCATGTGCCACCACCGACTGAGTCTTTGTTTCTCTGATTTACTATTGTGCATTTCTTCCATTCACAGATTAAATCTGATTCGCCTTTGAATTTGTGGTTTACTAGTGAGTCCTCATCAAATATTTGCTTAATGAAGACAAAGGAAAAGGAGTATGTGGTAGAGAAATTGCCTTGCTTCCCCTTACCCCACACCAGCTACACTTGGCTAAGTGAACTTCGCTGGTATTTTGTGTGGGTTGTATGCCAGTGTCACCTTACACAACAAACTTCTCCCCTGGGCAGTTGAACTCCGCCTCTGGAGAGGCTGGAATAGCTCTGCTCCCTCGCCCTCATCTTGGCTGTCCTGTGGGGGTGAGGGCGCAACCTCACAGTTGCCTCGCAGACACTGAATGTAGTACCTCGTTGGCCATAGTTCTCAAGGCCAGTAGTTTCATTTGAATGAGTCTTCCCAGTGCAACCCCCTCACCTGGACTGAGATACTTTAGAACAGGGATTCTCAACCTTCCTAATGCTGCGACCCTTTAGTATAGTTCCTCATGTTGTGATGCCCCCCAACCATAAAATTATTTTTGGCGCTACTTCATAACTGTCATTTTGCTGCTGTTATGAATTGTCATGTAAATATCTGATCTGTAAGATACTCGATATGCAATTCCTGTGAATATGCCATTCAGCCCCTCAGAGGGGTCGCAGTCCACGGGCTGAGAATCACTGTCACGCAAGGAGCAGGCACATCAGAGGCCCTAGAAGTTTGTTAGAAAGACGGTCTCAAATATCAGCTCAGAAAGCCCAATAAATAATCAGGATTTAACAGTACCTTGGGTGACCCACAGGGTGTTAAGGTTGGGAAGACCTGCCCTAAGGAACTGTTTCTCCCCAAACTTGCCTATACCTTTCCTTATGTGTTTCCTGAAATATGGTCGTGAGATCACCTGGCTTTTCAAAAATGTTAAAATAGTTAGAAATACTTGTAAAATATTTTATTGTATTTTAGAATCTATAAATTTCGGTTACTATTCATTTTGGAAGCTAAAATGAAGTTACTATAAGTGGTTTTTATCATCTGGCAAGTTTGAAAACTCCGCCCTACAAAAGTAAATTTGGGATGTATACATTGGCATTTACTAGAAAGATTTTTTTTTAAAAACTGTGTCTCATGTAGCCTAGCTTCAAAGCACTATGATTACAGTTAATGTGCCCCCACGCCGGGTTTATTTGGTGATGGAGATCAAACCCAGGCCCATGTGCATGCCAGTGTGTGTAACCCTTGGGTGACCCACAGGGTGTTAAGGTAAATTGTTTTGGATGTCCAGGCATGAGATTTAAATTTTTCCCCAGGTGATGTCCAGGAAGAGCCAAGGCAGAAAAGAACCTTTACGATAAACAGACTGGTTGCACCTTTAGAGCCAAGATTGTGTGACAGTGGCGTGAGAAAAGTGAGGAGAAGCAAGGTTCCCCCACGAGCCGGACACTCGGAACCGTGGCTTAGCATCTTCCTCTGCCCTCCTCCCAGGACCTGGCAGACCAGACTTTGGAGACTGATGAGAGAAATGACTGCTAAGGGCCTGCAGTGGCAATCCCGCTTTCCCAATCTAAAAATTGGCAAGTGCCTAGTGACTTAAGGGCAAACAAGAGTCCCTTTGAAACTGTGGCTGTTTTGGAATCCTGGCTAGGAGGTTCCAGTAATTATACCTCTGGCGCTGGCTGCCCTGCCCTGCCCTGCCCTGCCCTGCCCACAGTATTGGTAACTTAGACCGAGACCAGACCTGCACTGAAGGCCCAACAGCAGAAGATGGCGCTGGTGGTTTCTGTGCCTTTGCTGCAGGTGGGTTCTGCAGCTGCTTTCAGGGCACGCAGTTTGGTAAACAGAGAAGTCAATAGTCCTCCTTTCCCTAACCCCCACCCATCCCCGTGAGTGAGAAAAAACCGAACCATTGAGCAAATGGGGAAACTGGACAGCGGGCCTGTGCTTGAGAGAAACCCCCAGCTCGATGAACACATGTCGAAACACTTGCCCCCTTTCTCATCCCAGCTGCTGTTGCTCCAGACTCTGGTTGGTGCTTGCCTCTGCTTGGTCACAAGCGGTAGGCGGAAGCTCCCCATTCTCACGCTTGAGCTGAGACACTCTCAGACCGCCTGCCTTCCCAGAGTGCCTCTCTTAGAGTAGTGGTCCCCTCTGCATGAGGCCTGACAGAAGCCAGGGGTTTGGGTCACAGCCCTAAGGTGGCCATATCATTTTGAGTGAAAGCAGGCGCTGTTTCCCCGGGGAATTTGGGCATGCTTCCTAAGTGAATGAGATCTCAGGATCAGCCTCACATTTAGTGAGAAGCTGTGCCCCAGATGGAGTGTGGGACACCGACACAGGAAGAATTGCCTTTGGGAACTTGCAGTCCGTGTGAGGAGGCTGGGGAAAGCAGAGTAACAAAGGGCTGATGCTAATATTGGAGATTCAGAAAACCTTGCTTCCACCCCCTGGTAGGAGAGGCAATTATACATCTATTGTGAGTTTTACAAAAAGAGTGCACGCCCGCGTGCGTGTGTGTGTGTGTGTGTGTGTGTGTGTGTGTGTGTGAGCCAACAGCTCTTGCCCTTAACAAAGCATGCAGCAAGTCAGAGTAGAAGAATCCTGAGTTCTCGGCTAGCCTGAGCTATACAAGGACCACATTTTAAATAACGATAATATTGAAAGCAAGGGGTGATTGTGAAATGGACAGACTTTCCACAGGGAGCCAGGCCAGCAGAAATGGAAGATAAGAGTCTGGGGAGGGGAAAGGATGAAAGAGAAAAGGTATAAACATGAGCTTAGACTGCAAAGCTCTATGGACTGGACAGGAAAGGGTGGGAGAGCTGGGAGGTGAGGAAAGGGAAACAGAGCAGCTAGTGACGGGCCTGGAGTATCAGGTAGGGCCGACCTGCAGACAAGCACAGAGGCAAGTGCTTGGTGCTATTGTAGTTCTGGGTGACTGAGGTGAGGGGATAAGAGTTGATGCTGGGTCAAGCTTGATTCTAGAAAGGTCTGGGAATAGGATGGGGCATAGAAATTGCCCTGGGCAAGTATTCTTGGGAAGCTTCGGCTGTGTTCTCCCAAGTCTAGTATCTGCTAGAAGAGATCAGTTCTAGCCAGGCTGGCCTCACTAGAGAGGGAACCAGAGGTCAGAAAAGCAGGGAAGCTGTTCAGAAACGGGAGGGTGCTGATGTCAAGAGGGGTTCAGGAAGGTCTAGTTGAGAAGCCAAGGTGGAAATCGGTTAGGAGGAAGAGGAAGCGGTGTTTAGCAGTAGGTAAGTGCCAGAGACTGGAGCAGCATTAAGGCTTCAATACCACAAAGTCCAAGGCCACAAGGGGACCCATTCCTTCATTCCCCAAGCCTTGCTCTGCATGGACAATAAAACCCCACTGAAATTCTGCCCGTGTGAGTGGGTGGGACACTGACGGAAGCAGGGTGGGCTTCCTAACAACCACTACAGACCACGTGACCTCAAGTATGGGGGTGGGGGAAGGCTATCTATTGAAGGGTGTGCTGTTGCTGGTGGGACTTAAAGATGAAGGCGCTCATGAACTGGTTTGCCTGGGTTGGGTGGAGAACAATTGCCACCTATTGGCTGGGTAGGTAGATCTGGATTAGGGGATCTTCATAGGCCTGGCCCAGTGTAATGCTGTGACCCTTAAAATTATGTCAAAATCTGCATTTTACCAGACTATAAATGACCTTCTATATGTCACATGGTACTTGATTGATAATTTTGGGATTTATTTTATTCATTTTTGGAAACCAACCTTCTCACAATGTCTAAGGGCTATATTCAGAATAGCCCACTTTCTAAGTCTGGGTGAGACTGGGTGATTAGTTCTGCAGGATTTTTGTTGATTTCTATCCTCTTGATTATGCTGTAACTCTGTATACTTCTTTTCTGTGTGTATCATATAAATCACACGATTAGGACCTTTCTCTTTGCATCCATCCTTCCACAACTTGATGTTGTAAGCATTTTCACGTGACTAAAACGCTCTCCAAGAACAATATTAGTGGTTGTATTTCACTGAGTTCATGTACACATTCCCGTTTAGCCAGGAGGTGGTGGGGAGGCAGAGGCAGGTGGATCTCTGAGCTTGAGGCCAGCATGCAGAGTTCCAGAACGGCCAGGGGCACAAAGAAATCTTGCCTTCCAGAAACAAACAAACAAACAAACACCATTCCCCTTGGTCCTTTATATTTCTAAATTTTCTGTGGTAAACATTGCAATATTGAACAACTTTGTGGATATTTTTCAGATAACCCTTTATTTTTATTTTTGTTTTGTTTTGTTTGAGACAGGGTTTTTCTGTGTAACCCCAGTTGTACTGGAACTCACTCTGTAGACCAGGCTGGCCTTGAACTCAGATTCTTCTGCCCGTGTGTACCTCCAGAGTGCTGGGACTAAAGGTGTACCACAACTACCCAGGTTCAGATAATCCTTTTTTAAAAGAACACTTTTGGGATCCCCATCCTCTGAAGAAATCCCTAGAAGCTACTGTGAAATTTGTTGGGTCTGCCCATCTTCCTGAGTCCTGATTGAGAGAGGCGCAGTTTTTCTTTTCTCTTTTAAATGTGTCTTCCCTTCTTTTCTCCTCTTCCAGGCGACTGACTGCTGAGAGTCACAAGTTGCACACTCTGGGG